CCCCCCCCCCCCGTTTTACATTTTAAACATCACAACTTAGTGAGAATTGGGATCGTAATGTAGGATAATGTACAGTAAATACAAAATCAGTTCACACTTCCTGAGAGTTGCATTTGCTTTAGAAAAATTATAATTTCACTGTGTACTGATAAAGCAGTCAACATAATTTATATTACCAAAATATTCAAATAAGTGTCTAAACCTCTTTCATGCACCAACTTTGTCTCTCATATTTTTCGCTTCAGGAAATTCTGACCCATCTGAGACTTAACAGCTAATCCTATTAAATATCCATCCTGCTGCCTACTTCAAGGAAAACCCCCAAACAGTTATGTTAATGTGACAGATTGAAACTGCACAGGGATGTTGCTTGTCGGCAAAGCAAATCTTCTTATATGGTTCTCCAACTGGGCAGCATTCCCAAGTGATGCCAGAGAGGCCAGCAACATAGCAGGCATGAATCAAGTTGAAGTTTTTTCTCACTGCAGGAAGATCAGCGTGACAGTTACGGGCTCGCAAGCTGAAGATCACTTAAAAGTCTGACTAAAGATGTGCATGTTTGTTTAAACTTTGAGTATCCTGAAAGTGTAAATTATCAAATGAGAGGAGAACATTCACGTGGTGAGTGTTTCTGAGATAAGGCAGACCTGGTTGTTACCAGTAATTTGGAATGGCAACAGTCGCCCCACTTACATCCACATAAAATCACTTTCCTCCCACAAAGTATCCCCAAAAGTCCAGAAGTGAGTCCCTTCTGATGCAACTTTAATGACTTTAGCGGCAAAGACGGTTTAATCATCTTAAGAAATTTTTAGACACGAACAGCGTTTGCAAAAAAGTATTTAGTTGATTTTAAATGTGCTATATAAAAAATAGTGAAACGTCTAAAAGATCTATATACAAATAGTCAGTGCCATGCTGCAGCACAAGTGTAATTAAGCTGCTGTGTATTTTATGTTAATGGCATGTAGGTACCTCTCTTCAGAACCTGTTGGACTTTGATGTGGTTCGCACAGAAGCCGCTGTAGAGCTTGAAGTGGTCGGCGTAATAGAGGAATGAGCCCCCGAGAGAAAACAGCAGCTTCTGCGGGTAATAAAACAAAGACAGACAGACAGGTTATACACAGGGCACGAGCGAGAGGATGAAAGAGTGTGAACATGTGAAGTCATGACCATCCCCCCTCTCCAGGGAGACAATTCAGACGCCCCCTCTGCCTCCCCCTTCCTCTCGACTAACCTTTTGAGTGTGCAAGCTTTCAGCAGCTCACATTCCAAACCACTGAACTGCAGCCTCGATCAATAGACCCCACATCTTGTCATGTTAGGCTTATAAATCAGATGGTCATGCTCCTGTCGCAACACCTCAATTATTCAAAAACCCCTGAACTCTAAAGATCACGCCTTCCCTCGGAACAAAGGCTCAAATCATCTAGTTTGTGAATAATGAGATATACCATATGTTCTGGCGTATAAGTTGCAGTTTTTTTAATAGATTTGTCAGTCCTACAACTTATAGGCCGAAGCGACTTATATATAAAAAAAAAAATTTCCATATTCATAACGCAATTTTTGTCTAATGCTTAAAATTTCAAAGAACTGCAAAAAAACTCCCATGCACGCTCGCTTCACTCAGCTGGTGCAGGCGGAGGAACGTTGGGAGAGCTAGCAGCTTTGGCCATGATGGATGGATGAATGGATGGATGGATGGATGGCGCCGCCCAGGTGAAATGAAGCTGTTTTAACCATTAAATAAACGCATAATAAATGTGACTTATATATGTTTTTTCCTCTTTGTGATGCTTTTTTTTGACTGATGCGACTTATACGCCGGAAAATACGGTAATCGCTTTCAGTATCTCACCTTAAACTGTGAGGGGGTCTCCAGTGTGCTGAAGTCAGGCGAGGAGGCAATCCTCTCCTCCAGAGTCTGAAGGAAGACCCTCTGGAAGTCCAGCATCTCAGGAAGACTGCCAAACAGGCTCTCCATCTAAAAAGGAAACCAGGATGTAGGGGGAGAAATGTTATAAATTGAAAAAGGGAAGCAATTTGATGGAAGTGTGTGAAGTTGATTGATGGGGAGGTATGAAAGGAGAGCAGCACAGACAGATGAGTGGGAGGAGGAGGTGGGAAAAAAGGAGCGACTATGAGGCTATGTGGGTGGGGGGAGCCAAGATGGCTTGTAATTCATAACAGTCAGTGAGACAGGCACCGGAGTGTTATAAAACCTCCACTGTGATGACTCCATCTCTGACAAAAGCAGTTAATGACAAGCTATGTCCCCGCTAGAAATGTAACACATAAGAATCGTGCCACCTACTTTTCAACACATACAGACAGGGTGGCCAATACCCTACATTAAAAGCCATTAAGGGGCTAAAATGTCCCCTGTCCTTTCCGTGTCTGCACACGTCCCCGTGTCTCATAATGGCCATTTGATTTGCCCCGGGTCTCCGCAAACTATCGACTTGAGTGTCTTGGGAGGGATGTCGCACGCTGAGGTCAGAGTGGGGAAACTTGAGTTCATCAGCATGCTGCAGCAACTCCTTGTTGTCAGAATTTAATCAAAGGGGCTTTAAACGGAGAAAAATCACACATTTGTAATGAAGAGCATGCACAGCAATCAGTGGGCTGAGGTGAGTGCTTCAAGGGTGGGTTTACGCTACAGCCAGACTTTATCAACGTGTTCTTCTGGGATGCTGGAAGGTCAGTGAAGGGGACTGCTAATTTCTCCAAGAAGCATTTGGAGTGGTAGTAAAGGGAGATGACCCTGCAAGGTTCATCGATGGGTAATAAACACTTAATGAATTTAAAATCTTGCATATATATCTTTAAAGACACCCCTCTGGCTGCTCCAAGTAAGACTCAATGAAATCTGGTTTATTTTTAATAAATTACATGTTTTAAAGTGCACTCAGATTTTGTAGTTTCCATGTTTTCTGCATCACAGACATTATAAGGCTCTACACAATAGAGTTAAAATTCACCTTTTGCCCCTAAAATTAGTAGGTTTGTGCTGAGGGGTAGGAGTGTCGTAACTCTAGTGGACATGGGTAAGGACTGTGGTCTTTTAAAGACTTGCCACCTACCTCATCTTGCGTGAGGAAGGTTTCCCTCTGCAGCGGTTTCAGGTAGATCTCAAACAAGCAATCCAGGTCCTGTAAAAAGAATTGAATCCACAAAGGTTCAGTCATCTACACATTATCCTGCCCATCCTTTAAAACCCCTTTCATCATCAGATTTCTCCCTTTATAACCTCCAGCTGCCCACTTCATCCTACAATCACCTCATTTCCCTCTCTTTCTCCATTTTAACATGGCTGCCCACTCCTTTAATGTGGCTGTAGCTTGTCTCTGTATCAGTGAGGATATTCTCATTAGGTTGATTTATGAGCATCCTCCTCCTCGTCCTCCCTCTCCCTTTGCCACCTGTGCTGGTACAGACAGAAAGGCCTGTACAGAGCCACTCGGAGAAGACAACCTCTTTCCTCAATTACGACTCAATGGAAGAAAATGGTAAAAAGTGAGGAGAATACCAGCAACTGCAAGGAGTGAAGAAGTTTGAGTGTAACGTTTAATATGGATGGGTGTAAACAGGAGAAGAGTGCTCACACTTCCTGTCAGAGAGAATTTAATCTTTATAATGCTCTCTTTTTTTAAAACACCTCTCTCCAGTGACTTAAATAAAAAAAAATGTCCTCTTAGGCTTTCAAAAATGAAATGGTGACCCTCTTTACTAAATCTTTAGAAATTGCAGATGAGTTTAATCAAATATTCATCTCAATTTCTTAGATTAAATTCTTATATTACAGCTGTCAGAACTGCGTGGACTCACCTTCACGTAGGACTTTTCCGTGTCCACAAGCTCCTGGATGACCTTGCGCAGCCTCTCGGTGGCACTCAAATGCTTAGGGCAAGGTCTGAGCAGCGCATCCTCTCTGAAGCCCAATTCTCCTCCTCGCGTCACCGAGGGGTCCCTGATGTCGTCCATCACACCTCCGGCATCCTGGCCCGAGCCTTCGTGGAAGGTCTGGTAGAGGGAGCACACTGCGTCCACGCTCTGTAGGAGGCAGCAGAGAGGAGGGTGCGTTTAGGGTCAGCAGGTCAGGGGTTGTTAAGTACCAGCTGGATAAAATATGGATCACAATGCACACGCAAACATGCTCGGAGAGCTAATATTTCCATTTCCAAAACTGTAAAAGCTAAATTATGTGTATGGCTACATGGTGCATGGTCAGTAATAGTCTTGGGCAATGTTTTTTTAAGATTTGTCCCAATATATGTATGAAAAGTGGTGGGTGATATTCCTTCAAGGAATGCTAGGCTTTTAATTTGTATTGTAGTACTTCAAAGAAAAAAAATCAATTCAGCTATCTTTTTTGACAGCTGGAACCCCATGAGGACTTCAGCATAGCATCATCAATTACCATAATATAATTAACCATGTGTTTGATTATCTGCATAACTTTTTTTTAACTCACTTTAACTGTACAGCCCCAGGGAGAAATTATTTGCTCAAGGCACAGATTTGCCTGTGGCAGGTAAAATGCAACAATTTGTTTGCAATTGTGGCAGAAAGTGAACATTTAAAAACTGTTAAATTCCACAAAAGTTAACAAGGGAAAGTCCGTCATTACACCTTTTTGTATGAAAACAACAAATCCACAAAATCCATCAAAATTCAAAATATCTTTGCTGACAAACAGAACACTTAATCAAGAGCAGCCAAACATCGCTAGACTGAAGTGCAAGCCATTAATTAAGATGTCAGTTCTTAAAAAAAGTCCCATGATGACCAGTCGTCCATATTTCAAGTGACTGACATGTTACATTACAATCAATGGCCAATCCCTAAAATCAGCAGAGGCTGATAAGTGCCAGTAATAGCAGTTTCCAATCTGCTGCACAGCAACACAGAGCAGTGGGGCAGCCCCCGTGCCAAGCAAAACAGCTGCTCAGCACTCTCTGCCCTCCTCTGTTTGTGTGTGTTACTATTCAAAATATCGCACAAGCAAGCAATCAAGTGCACCCCCCCCCCCCCCCTTACAGCAGCAGACATGGATTGACACACCCTCCATTCTGACACTGCAGGCGTCGCAGTGCACACAAACATGAGCAGCGTGCGAACGCTTGTCTGACTCATTTTAGTTCTGATACCAGTAAAACTACTATCCCAAACTATCCCACTCCCAGGGAGTCCACAGACGATCAAGGCTTTCGTTAATAAGCCCCACCAACTCTTCAGCTGGCTCATTACAGCACGGTCACTCCAGAGATTTACCACCCAGAATATGAATCTAGGCTGAAAACAACAAGACGGAGTAGGAAGAGACAGAAGGGGGAAATTCCTCTTTATCTTCTTTCTAAATATCTGGTCTAAGCCTCTTTGGAGAGATCCGCTACCCACCACGGAGTTCTTTGAATGTCTGCTGTTAATTATGAAGGGACTTAATGTCTCCCTGTGCACCGGTGGCGAGGACGAGATGCAATCATATCTTGCAAAATGGACCAACCTAAACATGCTGGTTCACACTAACTGAATTATGCTCTTGTGAACAAGAGCCCAGCTGATTGGGAGCATTTTCTTCAATGCATATGCCAGCGATCTTTAACTCGTAAATCTTGCTGCTGATAAAAGTTCACTTTCAAGCTTGTTAAGACTGAAGAGCACACAGAATTAGTCAGTCCTAGTTTAACAAAACTTGCTATGGGAAAACTCTCCCACCAGGCAGATTGACAGGGGAGATTGCCTAAAGGAAATGAAGAGGTTAAGGGCGACAAAATTCATCAAACACCACCGTCAGAACCTGATGACAGACATATTTTATTTCTGCTCAGACACCCAATGGGAAGGCATGAACTACGGTCTACTTCTTTAGCATTAACCACCACACAAGTGATTTAATTCTCATCACATTCCCACAGCAGTATGTTCTACTCACATGTATACAAATGATAATGAGATCATAGAGGGGCAATAGAGCTGCAGAGCAATGCATGACTTTACATGGATTTTAGGCACTGTTCACTCAGAAGTACTTATTTTCGTCATCACTCAACGGTACCTGCATTGGAGCCTGACTAGAGAAGGTAGGCTAGCAGAAAGAGCCACGCCGCTGCCTCAAAAGAATCCAAGGCAACGCAGCCTGACAGCTAGCCCAAATAACCGATTAGGAGCTAAGGACATGAGCCAGCGGAGACGGGTGAAAAAAAGCCTAGGAGAGCTATGAAAAACAAGTAGATCTGACAGCTGCTGCTGTGAATCCCTGTTCAGGTTTTCATCCTGACAGGTGTCGACTCTACATCATACCTGTGCTCATCCCCTTGAGTCAATTTAGAAAATAATTATTGTCCCATCCTTGTAGACGAGAAAACAAAAAAAGATAATCTGTTATTCTGTCGTCTCGTTTACACTCTGGCAACATATCGCAGAATTTCATTTAGTGAATCCACCACCTGAGCACCTTTATATGTGCTCACTGTCAAAGCGAAGAGCTTTTTCCCCCAGTGTGTTTTTTTTTTTTTAAGTTGAGTAAAAAATTTTCACGTCACACCAAACAGATCAAAGAAAATCCCATCACATATGAACTACATGCTTTATTCCTCTCACATTGACATTAATGATTTGAACCCTAAATCAAACCACTCCTACTGAATTAACTCACTTTCACGAGTGGTGCACTCAAAAAGGCAGCTCAGGCCTCATGACTTACTACCCTCTTTTCAAAAACATTAAATACGAGACCATAAAATGTCACTACCTCCCCCAGTCTCCTGGTCACCATGAACAGCAGTCTGTAGAGGAGCCTCCATGCTGCTGTGGCGTGCCGATGAGTTCTCCGGACGAGTGAGCAACCCTTCCTACGCAGCTTGCCTCCCTTAAACGTTGGCATGATTGCTCCACATGCTGATACTGGTTGTATAGCTTGACTGTCTTGAAATGACCAACAAATCTCTTCGACTTTCCCAACCTTCTACCTCCTTCTTTGCTTTCTAATGTACAACTGGTCGCTCCATTTGATCTGGGTTTGAAGCTTCAGACTTGAACATTTCTGCCTCGTAGGTGGAATTGATGACAACTGAGTCATTGATTCTCTGTCCTTCTGTTCTGTGAGTGCAGGCAGAGAGAAATTGCTTGTCTACTGCTTTGTCTTGCATGCCAATCAGAAGAGTAAAGTCTGTCCACGTTGGGGGATTCTTCCCCTAACGGCTATTACAATCCATTTCATCGCATCTGCATTGCTCTACATACGTCTCCACAACTCGGCTCCATCTCGGCTCCTCCTTCACGACTCCAGGTGACCTCTCTGTTGTAATTTCCAGAGAGCTGAATGCAGAGGCCAGGAGCTGCATCAGTGTCCAGTCTCAATAGTAGCAGTACAATGTAGAGTGTTCTAGTACCTCCACACACACAGGAATGGCTGACTCGAAAATGGGAGGCTCTGAATCAGTGGGGCTAACGGGGCAGGAATGTAAACTATGGCCTTTCACAAGAATAAAATGTGACACATGTTGTTCAATGCAAAGCAAAGTTTCAAGTGGGATAAACAAACAGAAACTGCTTTTAGAAAATGACTTATGAATGTAGTTTCCATCATGAGGACTTACAAAACAAATAATAAAATATGACTTGACAAATTATTATAAAGGCATGCATTAAAGTTAATTTGAACAATCCCACCTATCATGCCATCATCCCCACTAAGCCATTTAATGGGACACAGATGCAACAGGCCTTTGAGGGAAACACAGTAATCTCTTTCCAGTTCTCTTGGGGGATCTTGAGGCGTTTGCAGGGCAAAACGTATCTCTAGTCCTTCTAGCAGGCTCTGGGTCTGCCCCTGGGTCTCCTCCCAGTCAGATGCCTCTAGAAAACCACCAGATGGAGGTAAAAAGGAAACATTCTAATCAGATGCCTGAACCACTTCAGCTGACACCTTCACATGCAGAGGAGCAGCAGCTCAACTCTGAGCTCCTCACCCCATTTCTAAAGATGGAAGGAAGCTATTTCTAGCTCCTTGTTCTTCTGGTCATGAGTCACATTTCATTACCTTGGGTTACAATATAGATTGACCAGTAAATCAAAAGCTTCACCTTCTGGCTAAAGCCCTGCTTCACTGTCACTGACCAGAGCAATGTCCTCATTACTGCAGATGAAGCCCTGATTGGTTTGTCCATCTTTCAGTGACTCACCCTGAACCCAAAGGGAGCACTCCACTTTTTATCAGTTTAGACACGTGGCCTCAGATTCTTGTCCCTGCCCTCATTATCTGAAAAGTATTACAGCATTTAGGCCTTCATTAAAGTCACAGTGATGGAACGATAGAAACAAAATGTTTTTCTTTATTCTTACAAAGTTACAAACTGATGAACACTTTGGGGACAACATGATGTTCAGTCAGTGCCTTGCCTATTCAGATGGATGTTTAATCTAAAAAACAAGCAACCAAACTTCCAATTAGCAGATAACAGTCTCTTGAGCTGCAATTTATTTGAATGTGAAAATGATTCCCTTAAATATTAGTGAGTAAATTTACAATTTTATCATCCTGTACAATAGTTATTCATAAACCAAAGTATATCATTAAACTAGGGATGTACAATTTTGGATTTTTGGCCAATATCCGATATGTTGAAACTTATTTGGCCGATAACCGATACCAGTACTGATTTTTTTTCCTAGACCTACTTACAGAGACTACATAGCGTTCTCTCATAGCTTCTCTGCATGGTCTTTCACTTCAACTTGGATTATGTTTAATGTAAAATGTATTCATGAAATTTACTCTAACGCAATGACAACACTCGAACAGTGCTAATTTGTAAATTTTCACAAATCTCAACTCAACAGCGAGCGTGATGTCATAACGTTGTGCTGGAGCTGCAGGCATCCTTGTCACTGGGTTGCCATACAAAAACAGCACTGAATGAATATATATATATATATATATATATATATATATATATAT